TTTTTTTGTGACATGTAGATTATTTTATTGGATTTTGGAGCTTCCAGAGATTTTAGTAAACCTTTTGTCGACCTATACATTCGTCTAATTCATGCAGCTGCTGAAGGTGATCGTCAGAGTATTCTTCAAATTTCAGAAAATTTGGGTTTCCTAACTGGTTATGAAACAAAGGTGAATTTATTGCTCAGTTAGTGTTTCTTTTACTTTTATTAGCGAGTAATTTCGATTGCTTTTCGGTTGATGAATCTTGGTCAACTCTAGGTATTTATTTATTTTATTTATTTAAACGCAGAAAAACTTGGTACAATATAGCACCAAGAAGATGGGCCAGACATTAATAATAAAACAACAAAGATTAAAAGTAAAAATAATAGTAGAGAACGGGTAAAGAACTTCATCTGGAAGGAAAACAGCCATGCTTGACAAGTTCAAACTGTATTCGTTAACTGTCATCAGGAAGGGGAGAAAGAAGGAAATTGCAACACGTTCGCCATTGATTACAATTCTTGGCCATATCCGATAACGTTTCGAGTCATCATTTCGAGCTATCTCTCGGACTCCAGCCAGGGAGTCGTGACGCACCAACCGATGCCAGCCTAGCACAAATATCCTTCATCCCACGATGCCACGTCATGGACCGACCACCCCTTCGCCTTTTCCATCCCGTCCCAGGGCTAGCTAGCGAACAGAGGACCTGTACGGAAGCCTCTGGGATGACATTCGCAGCACATGTACAAGCCACCGAAGCTGGTGTTTCCAGATGACGACACTCAATGAATGGTGATCTCCACTGTGTTCAAACACACGCCACCGAACCTCAGAATTACTCACGCGATGATGCCATCGAACGCAGTGATGATCGAACACACAGAGCCGCCGCACATCCTCAGCTTGGAGATGTCAGGTTTCACAGGCGTAGAGCAAGACAGCCGGCACCGAAGCATTGCATACCCGACCTTTGACAGCCAGGCTAACGTCGTGACGGCGCCAGAGGTGGCACAAGTTGATGTATGCCACCCTAGCCTTCATGATACGGTTGGAAATCTCATCCGTCACCCCTCCGCCAGCACTCACACAACTACCCAGCTACACAAACTTATCAACAACTTCAAGCGCAACTCTAGATAAATTATATTGGTTGTCATTTGATACCCTGTTCTCAATCTTTTTGAGCGATTCAATCGTAACAGAAATTGTGAAATGATACCTCCATTGTCAAGTGATATAAATAGTATGGCGAGTCATATTAAGTCTAGACGTAGATTGCTGGGTGAGGTAGGGAAGTCAATCAATGTGGTTGTGAGAAGATACATCGATTGAGATGGCTAGGTCACGTGTTTATCACTTATTTATCACTAAAAAACACAAACGTACATTACAAGCATCAAGAAATGCGCTACTTATGCGTTGTATACACTGAACTGAACCACCACTTTGGTCGTCAAACAATGTTAGCTGACATAGGATTAGGTTGGGAAAGAGTTAGGGGTGACAGTATCAAAACATGGAGTCAATCGATGAAATCTTTGACTTTTTGGTTTAAGCCACGTAGAGGAGTGTAAATTGTTTGGTTGGGATCCTCGAGATTCTAAGAACCAGTAGTTGGAGACTGTTAATGATATGGCCTAAAACCGTTTTCAATCATACACTTCTATTAAATCTTCATGTTTTCCTAAGTTATTATTTTTTCTGCTTCACATTTCTGCTTATTACGGTCCCGATGAATTTCTTTTCTCTACTTTTATCTGCTATATATGTGAAGTGTGACCAGTGCTGCTGCTGCTGCTGCTGAACCTCTGTGGATACTTTTTTGTTTAAACTCAGTTAGCAGTAGTTGTTGACCTAAACACCAGATGTTTTCAAGTTTATGTAGTGTTATGCCTTCTTAGTTAGTGTCACCATTGACAAAACCTGCGTGTAGAGCTTCCTGTTAGTTTACTCCTAAAAATTGTTATTGAAAACGAGAGATCGAAAGATATCATCGAGGAGTTTGATTACCGTATTACCGTTATGTCGATGATGCATATAGACGAATTATTGATGAAATTCAACAAAGTCCACCCTTCGCTTACTTCTACTTGTGAAAAGGAGCAGGATAGTAAACTACATTTTCCGGATGTCTTGCTAAGTAGGCGAAAAGATGGGTCACTTGGGAGAAGCGTGTATAGAAAAAGCACATTCACAGGGCAACACAAACACTTCCTTAGTTAAGTGCTGATTAAATATAAAAGAAATGTTAAATGTCTTACGAGCAGAGCAATAAAGATGTATACGGATGACCACTTCCAAAAGGAATTTGAATATATTCATGATTCCTTGACGAGTAGTTTCATAAAGAAACATATGAAAACATCGGAGAGAAAACCTGAGACTATGATTTATTTATTAAGTTACAATTTAATGGTGACTTGTCAAGTGAGACTTTATTGCAGAAACTTTCCAGGAATATACGAAGAACGTTTTACGCAGCAAACCTATTTTTGTCATTCTCTAACTGACGAATGATTGGGACACGAGTGAAGGATAAGTTAGGCAGTTCTGCCACATCTATGTGCATTTATCAATTCAACTGCACCTGTATTGACAGTTATGTTAGGCATACTACTAGACATCTTAACCAAATTGTTAGTGAACATCTCCCATCGTGGTTCGGCAAAGGACAGACAAAATCAATCCGTAGCTCAATTTTGTCACATTTAGTTGATAGTGGTCATGTAATGGAGAAAACGAGGGCTTTCAAGGTAAGTCGTCGTATTCCACTGAATCTCCAATGGACTTCGTATTCGTTTACTGCACACAGCTGAGGCGATAAGCATTCGAACTATTAAACCGAAACTATGTATTCAAAAAAAGTTCGTACAGCCATTATCCCTCCCTTCGCCTGTTAAGACAACCAACTGATGACGTCTACACCACCCCTTACTTATATTTTCAACCCCTTTCTTATCATCCCTTGATCTTATCACAACTTCATTAAAAACGTGTTTCATTTACTTCCCTTACAATCTAGCATTGCTTAGTCGGTTCATTTGTTTTTACTAGCCTTTATCGACTACTTCCACCTGAACAGTTGTTTGTTTAATCATGCTGTTTTTCGGTATTTTTGTAATCACAGATCGCCTCACTTTCTCATTTTTATTATTGATAGAACCATTATTATTATCATTATGACTTATTGCACAATTTATATTCACCATCGTAGTACCCTATAAACAAAACACCATGATTGGTTTATATTTGAATTTTTATTTGTAAAGTTATGTAGGTATATTAGAGTTAAACCTGATGAGATCTAACTGAAACCGTAATATTGTTCGCTTAAATGTATTGTTCTAAATTTTACTATGGATATATTTAATATTTCAAAACAAACTAAAGAAGAGAAATTATATGCAGAGTAATGATGATGTATTTCGGTAACCCAGGTTTCAAACAGGCCGCGTATAGTTTTATATATATCGAATATCCAGATCGCAAAGATCCTGGACTTATCCCTGGCTTCAGGAGACTACGCCTGATACTTAGAATACTGTGCACAGTAGCCAACCAGGAACAACAGAAAATCGAAATGCAATACGATTGTTTACTCTTCCACCGATAACGACACAGCAATACAGGTTACTGTCGGCAAATTCTGTAAATAAACGTTAATAGAATGTACATTTATACTTCTGATCATATTTCTTCAATCTTGAGCCAACCAGTATACGACTAAGCAATGATAGCCTTCTTGTCTCCCGCCAAATGGAGACCAGTTCGAATAAACAAACGATTCTGTGTTCATCAGCATTATATATATATATATATATATGGTGAGCCTCTCCACGTTGCGCTGAAGTTTAATCATAGTTCATTTCTGCTCTTCTGAGTAATTTTCATCTAATGGTAAGTGAGATTGTTCTAGCCTTCGTCCAAATGTGGAGATGGGATTTATCTACTTAAGCACTTGATTTTCATCCAGTTGGTGCAGGGTTCGAATCCTGCTTGCCCTACTTTAATTTGGGAAACTAAACAGGACCCATTAACCCTCAAGTAATGTTTGCTCACTGAGTCCTAACAACTTTTACTCACATTTATTTGTCTATTCCACTATACACAATGATCTTTCTTTCTTTCAATTTGCCTACTTTTCTCCTTCCAGTTGTTACAACAAGCTCATGTGGATGCTGTTAATATCCTGGGTGAGGCGTTCGCTGCTGAGAAACACTTTGATTTTGGTCAGCAATCAACAACGAAACGAATCAGTCATTTAATCCCTGTTATGCTTGAGCATCGATTAACTCCACCACCAGAAGAAAGTTATTCCCTGCATCGGAAAATGTCTGGCTGTTTTCTACTATGCAGTAAACTTAAAGCTAAAGTTAACTGTCGGCCATTATTTTATGATATATGGAATAATTATCAATTCTCTGATGACCACAACACTTCTCCTCAGGTTAAGAATCAATGACGGACAAATGAATATGCATTAACTTTTAGATATATTTTGTCTTTTCTTTTTCCTTTTTGTAGTGTCCAATTTAGTAGAAATTTTACACTGTACTAGTATTACTATCTGTATTTTGACGAAATACAAAGATATTTTATAAGAATGATATTCGTTTTTCCTGACAAAATTCAACTTGAGTTTATCGTGGTGTGATCATGTGTTTCGATGTGAATGCACTAGGCCTTATTCTTTTCTTGTTGATGTTGTTATCGGATGGATGTTGACTAGCAGTGAAATCCAGGATGCGCATTTAGTCCTATTTGAGACCCCTCAGCTGCTGTGTTTACCTGCATTCCCCAGTGAGTGGTAGTGAGTGCAGGTGTTCCCATTGAGGCTCGGACCCAGCAGCCATCATTTCTTCAAACGCTTAAGCGTTGTGCACTAGACAGCATTTGGGCCACGAGATCCACTTCTTGTGCTGCAACGCATATTAGTTATTATATAATTCAATTTGGACTTGAAACGAAGCATCTCAGTCCAATCAATCACGATCAATGCGAAAGTCCGATTCCATTATAGATAAGATTTTATTTTGATAAATCACACAGTGTGTTGTACAGTAATATTAACTGATGACCACGTTTCGAGCACAAACTATTGCCACTCATAATCATATCAAGTCACTCACACAACATTTTACTTCATTTATTTACATGAGTGAAATTCATGATTAGATATTTGAATAAAAATCAATATAAGATAAAGTACATTCAGAAATAATAATATTAGTGTTATCAATCAAATACAATCAGATGGGAAATAAGACGAGTGTTTTTATAGTCAAAATAAGTAACTTGTTAGAATGTTATGATGTGCGTGAATTGAAATAAAATTTTAAGATTATTTATTATCCTCTGATTTGACTGACTGGTGGTAATAATATCTTCCATATCTCTGGTATTTGCATTGAGTCATTTTTGTTGCATATGTTGGGTGTAGACTCGATGACCCATTCAGGATTCAGTAATCAATCTCTCTCTCAACCTGCATAGATTACTTCTTAGAATTTTAACCCTCTCCCACCCTATTGTGTCGTTGTGTGTTAATGCATGCAGTGCAATTGCTGAGCTTTTTTCTAAATTACTTACTATCTTCTCAGGGTCAACCATTCTTACCTCAGCTAAATTCTTATGTTCCGACAATCTGACTACCCCTGACCTACTAGTTTGACCTATGTAGTTGACCTAATTCGTAGTCATTGCAAGGTATTTTGTAAATTAAGTTATTTTATTTAATTGGACCCACCCGGTCTTTTTGTTATTGTTCGAGATAGTTACTTTTTTCTAACCTACAATGTCTGTCTTTTTATATTCCTAGTCGATATGTAAGTGACATATTAAAACACACACACGCAGTGCATATTACACAATCATGGTAAATCAAAGAATTAGTGAACCGTCTTCTCCCAATTCAACAAATGGTGATGGCGATGATAATAATAATATTCTTAATGGTGTCAATAATGGTGTTGTAATCAACTGGAGTAGCTATGCAACTGATGCAAATGGAATCGAAGATGATGATGATGATGATGATGATCTGACGAATCAGATAGCACCACCAATTGGTTATGTTCTACTAGGCAGTGAAGTGTTACACGCAGCGGATGACGGTGGTGGTGGAGATGACAGTGAAGCAGATGATGCCTTGTCAGTTAGTGAAAACGAGTCAGCGTCAGCAGAGAATCCTGCCATCAATCAAAATGATTCATGTGTACAGTCTTTGGACAGTGGAGCAGATTCAGTCAATCTAGATATTGATGTTGACCAACTACTTAATCGACAGTTGGCTAGAACAGAATTTGAACCGCGTGGAGCATTTTCAGTAAGTGTTTTTACTCCTAAATGAGCCTAGTGTCGTAATAGTAATAATAATAGCAGCTTTATTCTGGACAGTGTTTGTAAAGTGGTCAGAATTCTCAGCAGAATTTATTGCAAAATATGCATTCTCTTCGTCAGGCATTTCCAAGTAAAAGGGTAGTTGATAGTAGACTGCTTGACGCAGTGTCATCTAACCTGAAGCGCAAATCGATCTCTGATAACGTTTATGGGGTACCTAACCTGTCATATGCTCTAATGGTGTTCTGGTGACTTTTGTTGCCAGGTCCGCCAAGGGCGATTGGAATAGTACGCGACCTAATGGTTGTGTGCAAGGTTTGAAGAAGGCTGTGTGCTATATGCACGCGCCTCGCCCTGATAACGTTTACACGAGCTCGCATTGTAATCAGAAGGTCCTGGGTTCGAACCCCTGTGGTGGGTACGTGCTGCTGAAGAGTCTCAAACTAGGCTGACGAAACAGCTGTCGAGTACTCCCAGTTGATTTTCCAATGGTCCTCTAACTGATGTCAGCTCATGATGAAATCCTGCAACTAATCAAACTAAATCCCTACAAAACCAATACTTGAAAATTAATCTGATGCCCACTAGCGACTGGCCCTATTCAGACAGTGACCTGGGGTTCTAGTGGGAAGCCTTGACCACTAGGGTGCAGCAGGTTGAAGGTGAGGCAGTAACTCATTGAGAAGTGATCGCGCTATATCATGAATGGACAGAAATTAGAATTCATTGGTAGCACTGACTTCACATTGGTGTTGAAAATCCGCATCTTACTTTTCATGCTGAGTTCTGTTGATCTCCACACAGATTTGAAAGTCATGAAAGCTTGCCTTGCCTTACCGATCCTCGCTTTGATATCCTCGTCAGTTCCGTCCGCCTGTAGTTGAAACGATGCTTCTCAGGTAGGTGGAGGTGGGTAGCTAAAGGAAGTTGCTTCTTTCAGATTCCTCCCAATTTTGCTGATTGTTGTCTCTTGTTGTTGTCCAGGAATCTACATCATCTCTATTTTCTCTATGTTCACCGGGTGTCCTATCTTTGGTGCTTCTTCTTCTGCCAACTTGTTGCTTTTCATCTGCATATCTTCCAGTTTGTGGGAAATCAGACATATATGTATCATCGGCGAAATCCAAATCCTTCAAGTGTTTTGTGTGGGTCCATTTTATGACTGTCTCCTCGTTGCCCGGCCCTCTGTCTGTCTGTCGCACTACCCAGTCTACCGCAAACAGGAAAATCACTAAAGATACTAGGCAACCAGCCAGCCAGTATTGTCTAACTCCCGTCTTCACTTCAAAGGATTGCGAAAGTTTCCCGTTGTGGATTAGTTGAGTAATGTAGTCAAACTTAAACTACACCAACCTTTGGATTACTGATTCATGTGGTACCCTAATATCATCATCAGTTATCAGGTAGTTGTTTTTTCATTTTAATTGAACTCAAAATCACCTGGAATGAGGATATATATATATATATCCTTAGAAATAAATTCAGAGTAATGGATAATATCATACAAGCGGTTCCCTTTATTAGTTTGCAGGATAATACAAGCTGGTGTTATTTTGTTGATTCTTTTCAACTGTGTATATCCCGAACAAAATCAATTACGAGTTACAAAATTTCTGAACAAGGAAACCGTTTTTATGTGTCTAGCGTACAAATGGATAGAAGTATCCAGGAGAACCGAATAAACAATCAAGTGTGTATTGGAGAGAACATTTCCTGCCATCAGACTCATTCCAATTTACAACACGGTATCCTCCTTAACTCAGTCAAAAGTAGATAAGTATCCTAATGACGTTAACTCCAACTACATTTACCGATTCGCCTACATTTACAGGAGCAAGTACTGAAAGGAGAGTCTACTAGATTTTTTCAGCACATAACTAAAAGTGTCCGTATGAAAGGCAGAAAACTGTCCTCATTTTCAATTGTCAGACACTTAATTGACACGGAACATTCATTGGAAATTGGTCAGCCCTTCAAAATAATCAATACGCAGAGAAAAGCGTGGTTGCTTTGGTTCTCAGAAGACACTGTTATCACAAGACTTCGATCTAACTTCTGTACACAAAAAGATAGTGTGACTAATCTCTCACCATCCTGGTAACTGTGATTGTTTTGTTCGTGTACTTTTGTGTTTTTTTGTTCTTCTGCATAACATTCCACTTAATTTTGATTCTGATAGCCATTAACGAGTTGAACTCACTATCAATTTTTCCACATTTACTTGATTGTTTCTCTGTGTCATAATTTCACTGTATAATTCACTCTGTTGTTCGATCTTCTATTGTATCTTTAGTCTATCCTTGTTTCCAAGTGAAATCTGAACTCTCTCCCCTCTTAATGTACTTATACTAAAAATAATAGTTAGCCTCTTTTTAACACGGAATAATTAGTCTACTAACATCATTTTTGGTTGGAATTATGTTGCTTATACCTTCTACGTATTAGTCGACGCCATTGTGGCGAAAGTATGCCCAGAAATTCTGTAACTTATAATTTGATTTTGTTTAGGATGTAAGCAGTTGAAGAGAATCTACGAGACAAAACGAGCTCGTATCATCAGAACTGCAAATATGTTCACTATTTCTTTATTCAAACTAATAAAGAATAGTTATATACGTATCCGGGCAGATTTCTTGATCATAAGTATGTATTTGAATGAATAAATAAATAATTATCAAAGACATTAATCATTTTTCGTTGTTTATTTCACCTTCTAATTGTGTATTTCATTTAGGATTCGAATTTATTGGTTGGTACAGTTGAAGACACATCGCATATAGAATTATGGAATGAAAATACGCCTCCATCAACATCACAAATCACAATAACTCCAGGTAGGTTGTAAAGTTAATCAATGTAGAATTGTTTACAGGATTTCATCATGAGCTAACATCGGTTAGAGAACCATTACGAAACCTGGGAGTAATGGGCAACTGTTCCGCCCTAGTTGGGGACTCTTCATTGGTTCCATAATGGATAAGATTTTATTTTGATAAATCACACAGTGTAGTACAGTTATATTAACTGATGACGTTTCGAGCACAAACTATTGCTCATAATCATATCAAATATTTGATATGATTATGAGCAATAGTTTGTGCTCGAAACGTCATCAGTTAATATAACTGTACTACACTGTGTGATTTATCAAAATAAAATCTTATCCATTATGGAATTATACTCTACCACAGTGCCCAAGTTTTATACTTATATCAACTCTTCATTGGTACTCAGCCACCGGGGTTTGAATCCAGGACCTCCCGGTTACAAGGCGAGTTGGCTCGTAGACCATTAATCCGCCGGGACCCTCTCCAATGGTCTATGAATTCCAACTTCTGCCAATTCACGGTATATTGCGTCCACTAGCCAATGTGATCGGCTAATTTTGTCCTCAAACCCTCGGTCTGCTGTACCCCACTGGTCACGACTTCTCACTACAACTCAGGTAACTACCCATCTGAATAGGGCCAGTTGCTAGTGAGCGTCAGATTGGTATTAAAGTGTGGGTTTGCAGGGAAATTGATTGGTTACGGGAATTCATCATGAATTAATATTTCGCTGTTTACTACCTCACTATTCACTGTGACTTCTATGACTTTCGGAAAAGACACTGAAATTGTAGTAGAATATTGCCAAATAATGATAACTCTCCCTTTGTCTCTCCCTTTTCAGTTGGTCTAAAGTGATATGTACTGAAGTGTGAACTGGTCATAGTTGTAAAAGTTTTAGTTGTAGGTGGACAGTCTATATCGCTGGGGCAAATGGCATTTACTCGGGATCTTTCGAGGTTAAATATTTATAGGAAAGAAACTGTGACACATATAATACTTATGCATTGGATCTTAAACGCCATGGAGTACATCATACATATTGCAAGAATGTGTTTTATTCTGGTTGTTAATCACTATAGTGTGATAACCTGTTTCAAATCACTTTAAGTTGCACAACACAGGCGGATATTTTTCTTAACAAATGTGAATCTTCGAGTGTGTTAGCTTGTAGGGATTTGATCTAGTTTCAAATTTAAGAATGTATTCATTAATATCAGTTAGAGAGGTTCTCTACCTCTGAAATCCCTACAAACTAACTTTTCAAAATTAATCTAATGCTCATTCGAAACTGGCTAGAGGACGAAGTTGTCTCAAGTTGTAGTAAGAAGTCATGACCAGCAGGGGGTCTACCAGATAGTGTGTAAGGATAAATACTCACTGATGACATTGGTTGATGGTGGAGCTAAAAATCACGAATCGATAGAAGTTAGAATTTTATGTGGACCATTGGCTGAACGAGCCCACCTCGTAAGCTGAAGCTCATGGGTGTGACCCCCGGTTGGGTTATGGTCGCGTAATCCTAGGGAGTCCTGACCCAGTACTTCCTGGTATTCAATGGTTTTTCCAACTGATATCCGTGATCAAACTTGAAGTGTTGTAAATTTCTCAATTCCACCAGTATCAAGATGATCCTTCAGCGTCGGTGGCACAGCGGTAGAATGCTCGTCCGGGGTTCGATCCCCGGCCGACGCACTCCTTTACCTTGCTAAGCCAGTAATAAGACTAGTAAAGAGGGATGGGTGGACATTAGGCTAGCAGCAACCTCATTCCGTAAAAATAAACATCACTGCTACCGAAACTTCAAGCCTCTAGCTTAAAGCCCTATGTTCCACTGGGAACGTAAAGGAATAAGATGACCCAGTTCAAAAGAGCTTCTTCATTGAACCACTGGTTTTTTTCGTAAATACTTTTCTGTAGATTATTCGTAGATTCATTAATTGGGGTGGGGGGAGGGGTTAGATGACTGTTTCTTATGAATTTTATCCAGTAAGTCTCTCCATTAGGTTTGCAAACTTTTAGTAACAATATAAGGCAACGTATTCTCTCATAAACCCACAGAGAAACTGTAACTAACTGTCTGTGAGTGTGAAATATGTGGACAACATAAGGCATATGTAGGTACTTTTGTTTATTTATTTATATATATAACACAAACTCGGTACATTATACACACCAAGATATGCGTTACACCAAATCGCATAGTCTGTGTGAGAGCTCGGAAGCTGCCTGGACACCCAGACCGAAGCAAGTGATTCCCTAAAAGAGCCATCCCTGAGCCTTTGACTTGAATTTTGATCCGCAGTGCAGTGGAAATGCATTCCCATGGATGCCGGTGACCAAAACAGGCGCATACGTCATTCCATCAATTCAAATTCTGGATCCCATGTACACCGTAGGGTATTCCAGCTGCCTAAAGGTGACCAGCAACAACAACCAACACTAATCACCATCACTGGGACAGATTTGATAGTGGTCACTTCTCTCCTGCACTTATCTAGGAAGCGTTGTTTCATCTGCAGGCCAGTGAAACGGATGAAGATGTCAAAACCCGCCAGTCAGAATCGGAAAGACAAGATACGCCTTCATCAACCTGAAACCAGTTTGGAAATCTTCTGCACTTAGTCAGAATAAAGTACAAAATTCGGGTTTTCAATGGAAATGTGGAGTCAGCCAGTTCTTTTATGCGGATCAAAAACTTACAATGCGTGTCACGAAAAGGATTTTCAACAAGTTACAGACTTTTCTCAACAGCTGTCTTCGCTGGCTCCATACTGAAGATCAAATGGCCAGCCGGCCAGAAAGAATTAGCAACAAGAAACCATGGGAACAAACCAACCGAGCAAGAGCCGATCGCCCAACAAATATGCAGAAGAAAGTGGAGATGGATCAGGCATACGCTAAGGAAATAGTCGAATGACGTCTCTCGCCATGCATTGCTCCATTGGAATCCCAATGGGAAGCGACGAGTGGGTCGTCAGTATGAGGGTGACATGGGGGAGATCGTTTGAGCAGGCGAAGATGAGAGATTATGGGTAATCGTGTACCCATCCGAAGAGGACGGCAGGAAATAAAAATTGGAGATGTGTTGTTGAAGCCCTGGGTGTTCCACTTGGAACCTAAGGGAATAATAATAATAAAGGTGACCATCATGTCGACCAGTCCGATGATATGCGTTAGACGTCCGCATTCTCCCTTTTACCTTTGTGCGGAATACCCCTGTCGCATGAAGGCAGTGAATAGGAGTTATCTGACAGAGGCTCTGAATACGTGGCCCATATGAGAGCGTTTCGAAAGGAAGGTCGAAGTTCACTCACCCTTGGCTGTACCAGATCGTTTGTAGGAGCTCGTGGGTATTTCCCATAATAATACTTTCTATTCCATTAAATAACCCGTTTTGAAGTGCAGTCGTCGTATCTGACAGTGTTAACTCTTCAAAAAGGAATACAGAAGTACTATGCTTAATGAAGTTGTATAATTGTATTTTCGTTATATGCATTGTATATAATTTCATACTTAAATATTTGTCTAATGTTTAATTTTAGACGAAGCAGATAAGATTAAAACCTGCATGTCAAATTTTCAACTACCACTTTCACGATATCCTCCATGGGCTACACAAATTCCAGAAGAGCTATGGAAAGCTAAACTGCTTGAAAAACTTGGCAGTAAATACAAACCCTAAATATAATTTGTGCTCACCATTTCCATAATAATAATTATTATGTTTTCTCTCTGTGATCATTTTGATTTGAAATTCCACTATCTTTTCTTGTTAGTTACTTCATATGAAATTATTATTATTATTATTAATTCACATTGAATAAACAGCTTCCTTGTAAAGTCGCTTATTTTATTTTATTGATACGTTGGAAGTTGTCTTTAACGTTGTTGCTATTGTGATATTGTGTTACTCGATAGCGATAATATTAATAGTAATTTGCTTTATTCCAAAACGGTACTTATGATACAGTATGGAATTATCGGTATTTGGTACAATATCCCATCTAATTTACTCAACACCAAGAAAAGACTACAGGGTTTAGGTAACCAAAACTGATAATGGAAACTTTTTGTCACCGGCGGTGACAATAAAATTCAGAACGTACCAAAAGTATAAGATGATAATAATAATATTAATATTAGTATTTAAAAGGATAGGATAATTGAAATAGTGTCATCATAAATTACAAATAGAAGATAAAAGAAGCCTTTATACATACAACTGCTATTTAAGGGCGACATACTAAGTGAAATAATTACGAAGAAAATCAGTTGAAAGAACTTTTAACTCTGGCGAACTATACGTCTTATTCTCTACACAACCGATGGTGATTCCTCGACTGAAAGATGAAGTACCTAGACTAGCTGACCACTTCAAATTGTATCTACCAATTCAGCAGCGCTTGTGGTGGAGCCAGTTATTTCGGCCGTTGCTCTAGGAACTTGATTTTTTGTCTTCACTCGAGAACATCTCCCAGTACGGCCAAGTAAAGGTGTAGTAAAAACTATCAACAGTTCGATATTGCACCATTTGGTACAAACCGGCCACAAAGCCAGCCAGCATTAAAAAATCCTTCTCTGTTATCTACCGGGTACCAAATAAATTGCCAAAAACATCCAGGTACCGCACACTCCAAATAGCAGAGGCTATCGTGATTCGCGTGAAACAAGCAGTGCTTTGTGTGTAAAAGAAGCAAGTCCAATCCCTACCACTGCTTTGGCCTTCAGAAGAGACTAATCCATTCACTATATATATATAGCTGTAGAACCTTTTGATGAAGTTATCGAAAGGAGTATTCTTTGTTCAGCAACCATTCTTTTGAAGATAAAAAATCCGATTATTTGGCTAATAACATAGTAAGTTGTAGGTTTCATGCTGAACACTATCTCTACCACATAGAACGTCGGTCAATTACAATGGTCGTTGAGTTTTACACTTGTTTGTGCTAGCATATATTCCTTTATAATGACTTCTGTTTCTGCTTGATGAGATACAAGAGGGAAGTTGAGAATAGAGAGGGTGCTCAGAGGCAGTCAGACCACATGGATTTAGACAATTTGTCACATGAGCCCTTCAGGTGTCTGTCGACTAGAATAGTAACTAGCTGACTATATGATACACCTTAAGGACCCTTCTTAGTTGGAAATAGTCATTTTGAGTAGCCCAGGAAAGTCTAACGGGGGTAGGCAATAAAGAGCAATAGGTAAGATGCGAGGATTAAAAAATTGTAAAAGTAGAGGTTGAGTGATTCCTGATTGCATCATAAGAAAAAGGCACAAACAGCGAAGAAAATTTTCTTTTCGACGATTCATTTTCATGAGCTGTACAATCGTAATTATGTTAAACAAAGAAATCTTTAGACCAATCAGATACTGGTAAACTTTGTCGTTGAAAGATTGTATTACGTAATGTAAGGTGTTAGAAGGGATGACTAATTGCAAGTTAGAAAGGAGACAGAAGTTGGCATGACGTAATAAGTGTGAGATAGTGAATAATCAATAAGCTCGTGTAGAATGGACAGGAACTAGTAGAAAGACTATAAAGTGTTTTTGTATAAAATCTGTATGAAAAAGCAATGTTATTAATAAACAGTAATAAAGTGGTAGTAAAATGTGGATGATGGGAATGATAATAAAAGTATTAATAACAATAATAATTATAATAACAATGATAATAGTAGTGAACTTACATAATAAAGGAAAGAAGCAAAATTGTAGTAAGAACTTTACCCTGGCCATGGTTGGGCAAGAGAATGTATGTATCGCTTTTGGATGTAGAGGTCCGGTTTCAGATCTCGAATAGCTAATGCTTCAGCTATGTGCAGATAGCGTATCCGATGTCCCTTTGTACGATATTGAGGGACTCTGTGTAACACTGTGAAGCATTCATGTGGGGCTGCTCGATATCCGGAGATGACCAGGTGTTCGAGTATCGACCTGTTGCTATTCTTCTTTTCACCTCTGGTTAACCAAGCTGGGCAGTGTTCCAGAATACGTTTGTGGACTTGACGTTGCGTTGAGTGATTCTTGATTGTTTTAACCTCCTAATGTAATAGGTTAGATGGAACATTTTCTAAAAATCGACAAGATATTGGGCGACCAAGAAAGGTTAGAGGAAGGAACTATTCTAAGGTATTTTATACCTGGTTTCTGTCTGAGCAGGCTGTATGCTACAGGCATTTAGTGAAGGAGGAAGTTAGTGTAAATCGCGTTTACGTCTGAAGGCGAAGTTAACTGGCTGATATCTGTAATGATGCAATGTAATTTGCATGAACTAGTCGTGCTAACTTCACTTTAGTTCGTGTCTTTTTCGTATAGCTTCACAGTGTTTTCTATTTTCACTGTTTATGAATCTGTCCATTGCTCCGTTATTCAAGGTTTTTTAGAAGTTACACAACATACTACTTACAAAATCTTGTCACTATCACACGCCAATAATAGTAATAATAGTAATTTGCCTTAGTCCAAAACAGTACTTATGATACAGTATGGAATTCTCGGCATTTGGTACAATATTGCATCTAATTCGCTCAATAGGTAACTAGGGTTGATAAAAGCAGGTTTTTGGTATTAACAGTGACAATAAGGTGAAAAATATACCAAAAGTGTAAAATGATATTAATAATAATGTTAATAACTAAAATTCTGAGACGATTGAAATAATGTCACAACAAATCACATACTGTGGCAAGTGCTACTGATAAGATTTATCAGTAGTATGTAAAGAGACGTTCATCGGCATGAAAACATCAAACAGCAGGCAGATACACTTGATTTCAAAGAAGGCGAATGATACAGAGTTGTGGAGATACATAGGAGACGTGAAAGGAATGCAACATGAAGTCCGGAAGTAGCACAACACGAAGATCTATACAAATGGTGTATACACAATTTCTCTATATACAGATACCGATTTCCAAATAAACTTTCCTTTACCATGTCTTTTGTCTTATACCGTTTCAATACGAGCAGATGAAAGAGTCGATTACTCTGGCCATCTAGGTTTGAATGATCCTGAATTTTTGTAGAATTTTCCTAAATTCAGTTGATATTCTTTTTTTTTTTATTTCCCTCACGTTGCCCAGTGGAACATAGGGCTTCAAGCTAGTGGCTTGAAGTTTCTGTAGCAGTGTTTATTTTACAGGACGGGGTTGCTAGCCTCATGCCCAACCTTTCCTCTCCACTAGCATTATTTCTGGCTTAGCGAGGTAAAGGAGTGCGTTGGCCGGGGATCGAACCCCGGACCATGTGCATGGTCGGCAATCGTCCTAACTGTTATGCCACCGACGCACACAGTTAATTTTCTATTTGCTACGATATCTCTATTATTATTACTATTTAAGCATCTTTAATGAACTGTGATTCCATTGATCTTACTTTACAAATCGATATTATTTACATAGCAAGTTGTAGATATCACGCTTAACACTATCTCTATCACGTGGAGCGTTGGTCAAGTAAGGTATTGTTGAGTTTTTATACTTGGTTTTACGAATATATCATCTTTTATAATGACTTCTACTTTTTCCTGATGAGATGCAAGGCGGGGACAGTTGTGAATAGAGAGAGTATTGAGAGTTAGACAATATGGATCAAGACCATTTCCCACATGAGTCGCTTAGGTGTCTGTCGAGTACAATAGTAATGAGCTGACTTAGTGGCGCACCACTTGCTCTACTGACAAACTTTAATAGCCTGTACAATATGATATAGTCCTTTTTGAGTAACCCAGAAAAGACTATGGAGAGGGGAACAATAAATGAAAACTAAGCCCTTTATATTTAGTCAAGACTAATAGTTACGAAGTAAATCTGATTATTGGTCACTTTTGAATTCTAGTTTCTAAACGTAGATATGTTTGGAAATAAACTCAGTGTGAGTTATATCAGAAAAGCCATAATCGAACAGAATATAGAATGAAAGCCAACTGCTTACCTGAACTTCATTGACTTGGAAAATACCTTCTACACCGTTGGCTGTGAAGTAATTTCGAAACTGCTCCAACACTGCGGAGTGCCCAAAACTTTTACCAACCTCATTTAACATCCATATGATGATGGTACATGTCATGTGACTCGAAATGGAAAACTCAGTGAAGCCTTTGGAGGGAAGACAAGGCTGCCTACTATCACCAATGATATTCCTGATTGTGCTGGACTGGATTTTACAGGCGACCTATGTTTGATATAACACAAACTCTGTCTACAGGCGAAAAACAACAAGCTGACAAGAAAAGCAGGCATCAAAAACAAGACTTTGACTGAATACAGATATGACAGAAGGGATTAAAATTATCAACAAGCACCAATCGCTGTCAACAGAATACATTTGAAAGTGGTCACTTCCTTCAATTATCTTTGCAGGATCGTCTCAACTGCATGTGGCACAGATGACGATGTTAAAATTAGAATCGGAAAGACAAGACAGACATTCACCACTCTGAAATCAGCGTGGAAATCTTCTGCACTCAGTATAAAGTACAAAATTCAGATTTCTAACATCAGTATCACATCGGTCAGTCCTTCTTTATGGGTTAGGAACTTTGGTCATCGCCAAAAACATTTCCAACAAGCTCCTGCAAAATTCTATCAACAGCTTCATGACCGACGAGAAAGAATAAGCCACAAGAAACTCTAGGAACAAACTAATCAAGTACCTATTGCTCTGTAAATACCCTGAAGGAAATGGGGATAGGTTGAAGGAACCGTTGGATGACATCGCATACCAGGCCATAGCTCAAGCAGAAGTCTCTTGGGAAACAACGAGTTGGGCTTGGATCCAAAGGTGAATTTGAGGAGATCGTGTAAGGAAACAAGAGATTATGGTCAATCGGGGTGTCTGCAGAGAACGGGGTAAGATGGAGGTGAGCTGCTGAAGTCCTATGTCCAACACGGAATCCAAGGGAATAATAATAATGATATAATCACATGCA